CCGAGGATTTAAAAAAAGAAAGGAAACTCAGAAACCAAAGAGTAGAGCAGCATTATAGAGTGTCCCATATACCTCCCATCCGCACACAGCAATCATGTTTAATCTACAGACACAGTGTGAAATTTTCCTCATAATCACAGACTTTATAGACATAACATTTATGTGCCTTAAGATGCATACACATGTTTACCCCAAAGATAATTTTGAGTCTGACTGGTATTATGTCTTCAATATTAACTTTAGGAACCATACCATGCACTTATAATATAGTATGGTAGAAAGAACATGGGGTTGGGAGTCAGAACATTTAGGTTCTAGTCTTAGTTGTGCTTGTAAATCATCGTGTGGTCCTTTCCCTTTATGGGTCTCAGTTTCTTTACCTGTATAATGTATGAAGAGTATTTTTGACTGAATTAATGTTTTTCAAACTTTGCTTTAAGAAACTTTAGTGCTTTTCAAAAACCTTAGGAATCATAGTGGGAGGAAATATTCAATGAATTCAGTGATAGTGAAAGAAATACAATTTTTTCGTCTTAACTTCTTGGATACCTCCAGTGATGGGGAAATCACTTCCTCCTTATGTCATCTGTTATTTGAACAGGACTGTTTATGAAAATATTAGAGATCCTCTGTCTAAGCATTCACAAATTTTCCTTTAGCAGCCAAACTTTGTATTTCTCAAAACAACATACACAGATACTACTAGAGCTGGTTGATTTAAAACCAGTTCCTCTCCCTCACTACCCCCAGAGAAGCCTCAAGTTACTCTTGCAGAATCTTAGGACTCCAGGGAACACAGTTTGGAAACCAGTGAAACATAAGCTCTGCAAGGATAATCCTAGTCCTAAAATTCTGGGGTTCAAAGATTGTTTTGAAACATCAACAACCAATTTAATTCTTATGGAGTCAAAGATCAGCATGCCTTCTAATAACTGCTATTCAGAGGAAAATGTATAGAGAACAGAGAAATTTCATATGTATTACCTGATTTGGTCCTCATAAAATTCCCATAAAATAGGGGTTTCCTCCTGACATTTTGTAGATAACATATACAGAAGCTCTGAGAAATGATATACTTCACTTTAGAATGTAGCAGGGCTAGAACTTGAAAGCGTAAGTCCCCTCCTGATTCCAGATTCCTTCCTCATCCCACTCCACCCATAGTCTGTAGTGTTCATGTAGTTCTGTAGCCCTGGGCTTCACAGTAAGAGGTCGAGGCCGTATTCAAGGCCACTTGGGTCATAATGTAGACTAGCTGCTTTTGAAGACATTGCATGTTAGTTGCCAAACTCCAATTTTGTCTTTCCAACTCACAAGACCCAGTCTCAGAAACCAGACCATCGCCAACACCTTTCCAGCTTGGGAAGCTGGAAGCTGAGGTTTGCTAGCCAATAAGATCACTGGGAAGAAGCCCAAGGTCTCAGGCTGTGTATACACTGTGCCAAAACAGAGGGTTCACACAGGGAGGAAAAAATACAAAAACTAAGAAAAGAAGGTTGTTTTAATTCTTATCACTTATTCAGCGGGATGTGTTGATATCATTTGTGTAACAGATTCAGTTTAATCTTTCCAAGCAGTTGCCAAGAACCTAAATAGTCCAATTTTATTGAATATAGAACCTTGTCCTATATATGATTCCATTTAATCCTCACAGAAATACTATGAATCATAAAGACTATTATTTCCATTTCAAATGAAAAGGCTCAGAAAAGTTAACTAATTTGTTCCATTTTGGTTACTTAACAAATGGACCCAGAACTTAGACTCATACCCTTTGATTTCTAATTTGATGGTCTTAACAATAACCTATTGCAAATCATTTTGGCAGAATTTGTATGACTAGGAGTCACTGGCTTTCCTTAGTCCAACCCTTAGGATGGGGAGTCCTCTCATAATATTAACAAGTCTACAAGACAATATCATTTCACCATCTACTTCAAGCAAGGAAATGACCTCTGACCCTAAGTCATTTAAAATAATAGTTTTTAAAAAGCTAATTACCATGTTCACAAGACCTGTTGTTTATATTATCAATAATCACCTAGAAGTTCAACTTATTTGTTCATTCAACAGGTTGAGTTCCTGTCTTGTGCAAGGCACTCACTATACTAGGCACCTACTCAGAAAAATTTTGTTTTAAACTTTTTGTGGTGGTGATGATATACGTAAATTGCCTAGTAAGGTACCTAGTACATTTATAAGTGATAACTATTAATTGAGGGTGGGTGAGTAGACAATGTGTATACAGTATATTTGTAATCAGGTGTACCTGGTTTGGAATCTTAGCTATACACTAGTTAGTTGTTTGACCATGAGCAAATCACATGTGCTTCTGTTTCCTCATTTGTGGAGGTGGTACAACAATCTCTACCTTGCAAATTGTTATCAACATAGAAACTGTATATAAAGTGCACTTAGTACAGTAGCTGAAACATAATAGATGCTCAGTAGCTAGTAGGTCATTACAGTGAGGCTTGAGTGCTCTGCCACTGCTTTCACTCATATATCAATTTAAGTTGCCACATGCATGGGTCCCAGTGATGAATTGTTTTCTTTGAAGATGTTGACTGTCTGGTGCACTAGAGCAGCATGGATTTCCTATCTGGACCTTCTTTGGCCATGTGCTCCCTGATAAGACATGAGACTACAGGTTTCCACTGCAGATTGGTAAGAAATGATGTTGATTGGATTCTAGTGAGAAAACAGAATCTCAAATAAATTGCCTTTACATCTAAACCTATTTGGTGTGTTTCAAAACCTGTGAATGACTCCTGTCTATTTCTCCTGAACAGCCTAACACAGTGCCAAACAAGTGTTTGAGTGAGTGTGTGCTAAAGGAAACCTGTAGGCTGGAGCTACTGTTTCAAGTCATTCATTCCTTGATAGCTATGCTCACTGAGCAGGTTTCTTCAAAGGCTGGACATTAGAGAACAGTGTTAGGTATTGTAATCATATTAGACCTATAGAAAAATTAGCCAACTTTGTTGCTGATGTATAGACAGCAAATAACAGCTTGAGTGCTAAGCTGCTCTCAGTAAGGACCATAAATTAGTGTTACAGCCAGACTAAATTTTTCTTTTTGCTCCTCTTTGTTAGTTCTCTGCTATCTCAAGGATGGGGAAAAAAGCCATCAGTACAGACAGCTCCCTTGGTACTTGTACAGTTTAAACCTTATTACCCCTATGCACCCTAACATTCACATACTCACTAGCCAAGGCTTCACTTGCTTTCCATTGCCTCACATCTCAGAGGTTCAGGGTTCAAGTTTCCAGGTCCCCTCTCCAAGAGATCCTTAGATGCTCCATGCTTGACCCCTGCATTTATCTCCTACTAGGAAGAGTCAGTACCAGGCATTCTATCCTGGAGCTTCAGTGAGGAAATTCTCTAGGGTCTGTGGCTCCAGCTAGTCTGTCAGCGTATTACTACAGTAAAGATGGGAGGCACAGGCCTTGGAGCTAAGATTGCAGCCAAGGATGGTGATATGAGGGACTCTAGAATCCCTGATGTCTAATAGACTTAGGACATAAAAGAAAGGGGAAATGGGGTATGTGGGTGGGCAAGGATCAACCAAGCCTTACAATGTGTTTAGATATTGTAGACTTTAGGCTGGAGTCTATGGCTAGTAAAAGCTCATGACCTCAGTATTTCCTGAGCTTGTCCTTAAGCCGTGGAGTGGAAAAGACACTGGACAAGAGAATTAGAACACCTGCACTAGTACCAGTTCTGCCATATATAGGCTGTAAGACCTTGGGGAAATCAGTTAACCTCTCTGGCCCTTAGGCTCCTTGTTGTCAAGACAAGTATCACATAACGTGCTTGCTAGGGTTATTATGAGGTACAATGAAGTCATCAATAAGAAAGTTAGAAGCATTATCTAAATTCATGGAGCATTTCTAATGAGGTATAGCAAGACAAAATTTCCAATAATTCTGGAACTGTTGGGGAGAAGAGAAATGAAATGCTGGTAGGGGATGAGCTCTGAGGTTATGGTTTAAACATCCCTCTGTTTAGAACCCACCATGAGAACATAGATATATCTATGTGGTAGAGGTAGCATCTGGGAAACTTTGTTCTCTGAGCTTAAGGGAGGTAATCTGGAGTTCATCCCACTCTATAAAATTAAAATAAATTGAGGGTCCTTAGTCCATTTAATTAATATTTCTTAAATGCCTACTCAAATATCTGAATTATGCTATGTACTAGGAAATAAAATATGAATAAGAAGGAGTGGTCCCTGTCTTCAAAAAGCTCCAAGTCTAATGGGGGAGACAGATGTGTATATAGAAAAATTCCAATACTGCGTAATGAATGCTATAATTAGGTGGGGTTACACAAGGTTTAATTAGAAGGTAAATGAAGAATTATTAAGTCTTCTGCTTGGATGAGTGGGAAAAAGCTTCACAGAGGAGGTACCCTTTCAGTGAAAATTTGAATGCTGAGTACATGTTTATTAGGTGGAGAACCTGGGGCAGGAAGAAGGCATTCCAGGCAAAGACAACTGCCTGTGCAGAGAAATAGACCCATGAGAAAGCATGTTGTGTTCAGCAAATTGTAAGTTTTTCAGAATATCTAGAACCTAGATTATGAGAAGGCAAATGGCAAGAAATTAGTCTAAGTAGGCAGGTAATGAAGGGCCTGTTTGTGTATAACAATGGTAATAGGGCAAAAATAGCAGTAGAGTCGGCTACTTGTTGAACAACAACAACAAAAATAATAATAATGGAGAGAAAGTAGGAGGCAGAAAGAAAGTCAGATGATAAAGAGCCTGAATGTAGTGTGGAAAAGGCAGTGGCTGTCAAAAGCATGTACCATACATTATGTAATAATACCCTATTCCCAGAGTTGTTAGAGGGACAAATAAGATTATAGCTAGAAAAGAGCTTTATAAATTGAATAGTGCTGTTCATGTGGGAGAAATGATTATTACACTGCATCTTTGGAAAGGCATAGCGATCAAGAGCACAGGCTTTGGAGTCAGGCTGCTTGGCTTTGGATCTTGGTGTGCCATTTACTAGCCTTATGATCTTGGACAAGTTCTATAACCTTTCTGTGACTCACTTTTACTGATTTACAGAATGGGGATAATAATAGTACCTACATTATCAGATTGTTGTTAGGTTTAAATGAGTTAATATAAGTAGTATGCTTAGAAAAAGTGTATTTTTTGAAAGCAGTCAATAAGTATTAGATTAGTCTTTTCTAACTGACAATGCCCCTTTTGCCTCCATCATCATCTCATTTGAGCAGCTCAGTGAAACAGAGAAGGCAAGGAATATTATCTCCACCACATAGCTTACTTTCTTCCTGCTCCCTAGCACTGGTGGTTCCTGGGGCTCTTCATGGGCTGTCTGAGAACTAGAGAGTCTCGGGACAGCAGATGCCCAGATTTTATCCAGCCCACCATTCCCCAGCCTGACCATTGTCTCTTCTCCATCTCCAGGCTTCCGAAACTTGCATGTGGATGACCAGATGGCAGTCATTCAGTACTCATGGATGGGGCTTATGGTGTTTGCCATGGGCTGGCGATCCTTCACCAATGTCAACTCCAGGATGCTCTACTTTGCCCCTGACCTGGTTTTCAATGAGTAAGTGCTCATAAGCCCAAAACTCACATAAACACAGCATCCTGGCTATGTCTGTTTGATGGTAATGATGGTAGTAACAGTGGTGGCTAGCCCATTTAACCTATATATGAGGCAGTAGAGGCTCCTTCTAGCTTGTACAATCTGAGGTGCCTTTGCTTGACAAGAAGGCAAATTGGTAGGAGACCAGGGGGAGTGTTACTGAGGCCATCCCTTTCCCACCCAAGACCCAACCTTGGCATTTTGGTCATGTTTCTGACATGCTTTTTAACCTATCTCAATACCTCATATCAAGATCCTTTCCATTCACTCTGACCAGCATAAGGAATGGGCATAGAGACTCTAGCTGTGAGGGCTAATGTTCTTTTGGTCCCTTTTGCTCATCAAGGGTTACTGCCAGTCACCATTTGTTGAACAACTCCTTTATGCCAGAACTATACTAGATACTTTCTAAATCCTTCTCATTGAATCCTCATGAAAACCAGATTTCCCCTTTGTAAAGATAATTTTTAATGAATGAGAAAAATTAGGCTCAACAAAATAAAGTGACTCACCCAAGTTAACAGAGCTAGTGCATGTTGGCAACAGATTTCAAAATATGTCTGTGTAACCCCAAGTTCTTATACTTCTTCATGGTGGTTAGTGATGGGGAAGAGCAGCTCCATTACTCTGACCATGTGACTTTGGCCCTGTCACTTTTCTTCTCTTAAAAACAGGTTTAATTAATGCTTTCCCTGCCACCAGTTCTTTTTATCATTTATAAATTTGTCCAAGGGTTCAGATTTTGAAATTACACTGGTATTGACTAAAATCTGTTCATCATTGTCTTTAAGCAGGACCTTTGAATTTCCTGTCCCTCAGTTTCCTTATCTGTTAACTAAATAGAACTTTTTCAAATGGTTTCTTATGATCACTCTAAAATAATGGGTATGAAATGTCTGGCCCATAATGGACTATAAATAAAAAAGAAGTACATTTCTGATACTTTCTCCAATAGTGATATTCTTTTCCACTTCTACTGTTTGGGGTCCCTTGATGGCATTGTGAATGTAGCTAGTCAGAAAAATATTCCCAAGGACTTTGAATTAGCCTCACCACAGAGAATCCCTTTGGTCAGGGCAAAAATCGACCTTCTCTTCTCTCCAGTCCTCTAACTGAGAAGAGCATTAAAATAAATTGTACAGGCCAGTAGTTCCTTCTAGTACAGCAATGTGGAGGGAAATAAGCACCCCCAGATGCCTTTTTGCAAGCCATCTAGTCCTGTTAATCAGAAGCTAAGAATAACCATTGGGCTTTTGGCATGACCTGCTTTGTGGTTTCCAAATCTTTAAAGAGTTACCCAAGATACCATCTTCTGGGGCAGGCCTTAAAAATACCCCTTTATGTTAATCTCTCAAACCCATCCTCTTATTGCTCTCCAGTGATTGAATCAACTCCTTATGCACCTGCAAGACCCTCACCATTCAGAGCCCTAAGTCCTTCGCAAAGTGATAACTGCCTATTTTCTAAATCTTAAATTTCCTTCTCTGCCTCTGCATTAAGTATGTTGTACCTCACCTCAGCTTTCTGGCCCATTCACATGTATTTCATCAAAAGGTACCACAGCCAAAACCGGTTTGGCTCAGTGGATAGAGCGTCGGCCTGCAGACTGAAAGGTCCCAGGTTCGATACCGGTCAAGGGCATGTAACTTGGTTGCGGGCACATCCCCAGGGGGGAGTGTGCAAGAGGCAGCTGGTCGATGTTTCTCTCTCATCGATGTTTCTAACTCTCTACCTCTCTCCCTTCCTCTCTGTAAAAAATCAATAAAATATATTTTTTAAAAAAGGTACCACAGCCCTAGCCAGTTTTGCTCAGTGGATAGAGCATCAGCCTGACACTGAAAGATCCTGGGTTTGATTCTGGTCAAGAGCACGTACTTTGGTTGCAGGCTTAATTCCCAGCCTTGGTCGGGCAGCATGCAGGAAGCAACCAATGGATATGTCTCTCTCACATCAATGTTTCTCTAGCTCTGTCTCCCCCCTTCCCCTCCATTCTCTCTGAAAAAATCAGTGGAAAAAATATCTTTAACTGAGGATTAACAATAACAATAAAGGTACCACAGGAAGGTGCCACACAATAACGCCAGTACTAGCATTCTCCCACAACCACATCAAATTTACAACTAAAATACAGAACAACCATCATTTAGAAACACCTGAAATCTGACTGAATGGAAGTCCTATAACTAGAGGAGTAAAGAAGGAAGCACATTGAGACTAGTAGGAGGGGCAGAGGTGTAGAATGGGCTGGTACGAAACCCACATGTGGCATGTTTTTAATCGGGAGGGATATCTTGGCTGAGTAGAACTCCCATGAGGAGCAAGCAGTCCCAGACACACACCAGACCCCCAGCCCAGGATTTCAGAGCTTGGAAGAGAAGTCCCTGTAACTTTGGGCTGTAAAAACCAGCGGGGGTTGTAGTTGAGTGACAGGGAGGCAGCCAGAGACCCAGACAGGTCCTCTTATAGTGCCAGTGCACAGATGTCTTCGGATTCACTTTCTCTGAGTTCCAGTGCTGAGGCAGCAGCTTGAAAGAATCTAGGGAGATACAGGGATGAACTAAATTGTCATCAGGGCAAGAACTGGGAGGCAGCTTTCTCACAGACAAAAGTGCTGGGAACTTCCCCCAAAAGAGCTGACTTGCAGGCACGATATCTGAGTCTCCATCAATTGGTAGAGTGGTCTTGTGTAGTAGGTACCCTGTAGAGCCCAGTGGCTCAGCCTCCCTAGTAACCTCAGCTGGGCACTCTAGGTATGCCCACATTTTTTGCCCCACCCTGGTGACTCCCTGAGATCCTGCCCCACCCAAGCTGTTTGCAGTGTCTTTTCCATATGAATGGCCTGTTCTGGCTCAGGCTTCAGACTTTCCTAAAATCTCTCAAACCAGCATTAGCTGGACTCAATGTGCTCTATAATTCTCAATAAGGGGCCAGGACTGACACTAGCAGCAACTTGACAAGGTTCACAGCTTGGCCTCTCCTGGATACATACTAGTCCAACACAAGTAGCAGCCATCTACAGATTGCTCTGTAGCTTGTGCTGGGTGGCCCCAGGCATGGCATAGACAGTGGCTGACTTTACACCTCTCAGGAGGCCCCAGAGCCAGTGCACCTGATGGAGTTTCAGACCATGCCATATTACAACTCTATCACATCCATGAGCAACATATTAAAGGGTTGGACTTGGTGAGCACCAAAGCCCCACTGAAGCAAGTCCTGCTACATAAGGGTGTGTCTTACACAGTAGCTCTTCCATGGTAGTCACAGCTGGTCCTCACAGCCAATTGGTATGGGGATAAATTCCTCCCAGTGATGCCAACAGTATTCAAGGCTTAACTATAACAGGATAGTGCATGCAAATGACACAGAGGCATACCTAGAGTGCCCAGATCAGGCGATCAGGAAGGCTGAGCCAATAGGTCCTACAGGACACCTACTACACAAGGCCACTCTACCAATTCCCAGAGATGTAGCAGCTCTACCTAATACATAGAAACAAACATAGGGAAGCAGCCAAAATGCAGAGACAAAGAAATATGTCACAAATGAAAGAAAGAAGAAATCTCCAGATAAAGAACTAAATGAAATGGAAGGAAACAAACTATTAGATACAGAGTTCAAAATAATGGTTATAAGGATGCTTAAAGAACTTAATGAGAACTTCAAGGATCTTAGTGAGAATATCAAGGAACTTACTGAGAATTTTAAGGAAATAAGTGAGGACATCAAAGACATAAAAAAAGGACCAGTCAAAAATGAAGGATACACTAACTGAAATGAAGAATACTTTACAGGCAATAGTAGAGTAGAGCATGCTGAGGATGAAATCAGTGATTTGGACTAGGAGGAAGCAAAAAACACCCAATCAGAAGAGCAAAAAGTAAAAATAATCCAAAATTTGAAGAAATAATGACAGATAACTTCCCCTACCTAGTGAAAGAAATAGATTTACAAGACCAGGAAGCACAGATAGTCCCAAACAAGAAGAACCAAAAGAGGCCCACACCAAGACACATCATAATTAAAATGCTAGGGGTTAAAGACAAAGAGAGAATCTTAAAATCAGCAAGATAAAAGCAGTTAGTTGCCTACAAAGGAGCACCTGTATTACTGCCAGCTGATTTCTCAACAGAAACTCTGAAGGCCAGAAGGGAGTGGCAAAAATTAGTCAAAGTGATGAAAAGCAAAAGGTCAGGGAGAAAACAAGATGGTGGTATGGGTAAACACCAGAGATTGCTGCCTCACACAACCACTTCAAAAAAAAAACCTAAAAGATGGAACTGACATTATCCAGAACCACAGGAAGGCTGGCTGAGTGGAAATTCTACAACTAGAAGGAAAGAGAAAAGCACACCAAGACTCAGAGGAGGTGCAGTGCGGAAGTAAAATACAGAGGTACAGAGGCCCATGCGGAGAGGGTTGGCGGCTGAGGACAAGGTTGTCTTATTCAATCAGGAGAGAGTCTCAAGCTCTGAGCTCCAGTTCTGGGTGAGTCTCTGGGGACCCAGACTCATACGGGAGAAGCTGGACTGTCTGGCATTGGTCGGAACTCGAAGGCAGCTTTATCTTGGGGGTGTTTGCCAGGACACTGAGAAACAGGGCCTCTGAGGGCAGGACTGAGAGCAGCCATAACTGCTCGCTCTGCCCTGTTGATCCCCTGGGACCCTGCCCTGCCCAAGCCATGAAGCTTTTGCATATGAAAGGCCTGGCCCTCTGCAATCTGATAATTACCTAACAAACTGCAGCTGTCCCAAGGCCCCAGGACAACTTGCCTTGAGTCACAGCTGGCTTCTGCTGGATAGCCTCAAGAAGAGGCTAGATTAGCAAATCCTTAGAGATCCAGGAGCCAGTGTGCCCAGTGGTCAGAGCCG